CAAGAGGAGAATGGAGAAGGGACAGCAGTGTGACCATTCCCATGAAGAATGATTTCTTGCTTTCTGTTTCTCTTTCTCACCAGTGAGTGCATATGCCTTATGGCAAAAATCTCTTTAAAAAAATGATGAAATGTGTGTGTGTGCAGAGAAGGTAAAGAAGGCACACCAAGCTTCTGGCAAGGCTCTCTTCAGGGTAGAATTGAAGAAGCAAAAAGTAGGGACCTCCCCCTTTTTTTGTAAAAGATTTCTACCTGTGTGAATTAACTATTGGGTTATAGGAAAAGTCATGACATTTTTCTGTGCAAAAATGCATTGTGACTTTTCCAGCGATCTAATGAATGAACATGTAGTGTAATTAAAATAAATTTTACAATGAAAGTATCTTTATAAACATTGGATAGGATCAATTTAAAGAATATTTTAAATGGTAAATGCAGATTTCAGTTGAATATTTTGTGCATGTTTTCTGAACTTACGGAAAATTTTCATTACTTTCTTAGTTTACTTTTGGAAATATCCTTATTGGTCTAGTTTAGACACCACAGACAACTAAGATATATCTTGATAAGGTAACTTTAGAAAAAAATACCTTGTGATCCCCCCAAAAGTCCAGAGTCTAGCTGTGGACCCTCTCTCTTGAGAGAGCATTTAACACAAGTGTAACTTGCCACTGGAAAATTGAACACTTCTCTGACTTCTGTTGTGATAGGACTTGAGATGTGCCCCAAGCCTGAGTGTCCAAATTGCAAAGGCCAGAACTCCCGGCACTGGAAAGAGAATGGCTCCTCTATCCTGCCTGCCCAGGTAACAACATTTAGTGGTAGGGTTTGCTGAAGCCCGGTCCACTACAGCTGCTGCTTGGACTTTGTGTGAGAAAATAACATACTGACTTATGCATGAGGTGAGCTGGACTATGCATAATTACTTAAGAAACTGAGTGGGTATTTTTTCTTTTTTTTTTTTTGGAGAGGTTTTTGCTATAGGGTTCATGTGCTCACAGAAAGACAGAAACAGACAGAGAGTGGGAATCACCCCCTAGGAGGGATGGCCATGCTGTAATCCTTTCTCCTCCATTCTCCTCTCGGGATCTTGGGCATGCACGCACATGCGCCCGGCGTGATTTTAAGCCACCGGGTCTGGGACTTGAATTACTAATGACCTTGTGGAGTCTGATATGGTTAAGCCTAAAAGTGAATAGTGCATATTTCAAGACCTCTTCCCTCCAGACTTTTCTGCTGATGTTCCCAATTTTCTCTCTGTAATAAAGTATTGGCAAAGATGTTGGCAATTGTAAGCACATAACCTCTTCCCAGAGAAATTTGATGTACCCAGTTTAATGTGTGGACTCGAAGGCCCAGAGCTTCATGTCCAGTAATCTGTCTTACTGGTAGAGGAACGGGTGAATGACCTCTAGCATATTCAATGGCACGCAAGGCAAACTAAGACACACAGCACTAGTACCTCATGGTATAATAATATAATAGAGCTTATTTAGGAGCACGTTAGGAGCACAGATAATTCCCTGAACACCCATTACCTAGTGGAGAAGTGTGTGGAAGCTGGTCAGACCTTTACCAGGTCTATTGTGAAGAAGGTTCCAGTTATGGGACCCCATCCCAAAATGCTCTTCTGTTTATAGGAAAAGTAGGGAACATGCAGGTGACAATATAACAATGGAACCACTTAAGGTAAATGGCCTTGTTAGAGAGATTTCAGAGCCCGGCTTTTCCTATTGGGGAGTTCTGTTAAGCTAACTCTGATCTGCTAAGTGTCTCCTTCCTACACAACTAGGAGTGGGACTACCAGATTTATATAATTACATATTTTGTTGCTGTTATAAAGGATGAAATGTGGGGACTGGCAGATGGTGTAATGGTTATGTAGCTGGACTTCCAGATGGCCAGCCGTGTTTCGAGTCCTGGATCTGGAGACTTGAATGTCACGCTGGGGCGCGCGTGTGTGTGTGTGCCCAAATCCCAAGAGGAGAATGGAGAAGGGACAGCAGTGTGACCATTCCCATGAAGAATGATTTCTTGCTTTCTGTTTCTCTTTCTCACCAGTGAGTGCATATGCCTTATGGCAAAAATCTCTTTAAAAAAATGATGAAATGTGTGTGTGTGCAGAGAAGGTAAAGAAGGCACACCAAGCTTCTGGCAAGGCTCTCTTCAGGGTAGAATTGAAGAAGCAAAAAGTAGGGACCTCCCCCTTTTTTTGTAAAAGATTTCTACCTGTGTGAATTAACTATTGGGTTATAGGAAAAGTCATGACATTTTTCTGTGCAAAAATGCATTGTGACTTTTCCAGCGATCTAATGAATGAACATGTAGTGTAATTAAAATAAATTTTACAATGAAAGTATCTTTATAAACATTGGATAGGATCAATTTAAAGAATATTTTAAATGGTAAATGCAGATTTCAGTTGAATATTTTGTGCATGTTTTCTGAACTTACGGAAAATTTTCATTACTTTCTTAGTTTACTTTTGGAAATATCCTTATTGGTCTAGTTTAGACACCACAGACAACTAAGATATATCTTGATAAGGTAACTTTAGAAAAAAATACCTTGTGATCCCCCCAAAAGTCCAGAGTCTAGCTGTGGACCCTCTCTCTTGAGAGAGCATTTAACACAAGTGTAACTTGCCACTGGAAAATTGAACACTTCTCTGACTTCTGTTGTGATAGGACTTGAGATGTGCCCCAAGCCTGAGTGTCCAAATTGCAAAGGCCAGAACTCCCGGCACTGGAAAGAGAATGGCTCCTCTATCCTGCCTGCCCAGGTAACAACATTTAGTGGTAGGGTTTGCTGAAGCCCGGTCCACTACAGCTGCTGCTTGGACTTTGTGTGAGAAAATAACATACTGACTTATGCATGAGGTGAGCTGGACTATGCATAATTACTTAAGAAACTGAGTGGGCATTTTTTCTTTTTTTTTTTTGGAGAGGTTTTTGCTATAGGGTTCATGTGCTCACAGAAAGACAGAAACAGACAGAGAGTGGGAATCACCCCCTAGGAGGGATGGCCATGCTGTAATCCTTTCTCCTCCATTCTCCTCTCGGGATCTTGGGCATGCACGCACATGCGCCCGGCGTGATTTTAAGCCACCGGGTCTGGGACTTGAATTGTAGTCGACTACACAAGACTCCAGAGACGTAGCCATTATGTCATCTGCTGGTCCCTAACCTGAGTGGTTTTTATAGGTTTATCTTGTTCATGAAGAAGATCACATGTATGTGGGTGTGTGCATTAGCAAAAGGGGTATCCACAGCAGGATCTCATCACATCGTGATCCCTTTCCTCAGCCCTTCAGTTTATCAAGCTCTTGGGCACATGCACCCCTGGTGTGTTTTCAGGTGAATCCAGGATCCAGACTTGTGGCTGGCCATGCGGCTTCCAGCAGTGCAGTTCAGTAAGCTATCACCTATGCCACCGAGGCCGGGCCTAGAGTGTTTTTAAAGACTCCATCAGCCTTTTTAAATAATTACTTTAAAACATGTATTCCTCACAAAGTGTTGTGATCTAACTAATTACCCCACCTCTAGTGGAGACTTAGAACTGAGGTAGGTTTTTTTCAAAGCAACCCCTTTGCAGTCACCCTGTACTTCCCTGGAGGCCCAGCCTTGAAAGCTACTGGGCTGGCTGGCCAGAGACTCAAGTTGTGAGGGAAGCTGAGACCCAAAGGTGGGCCAGGACAGTGGCTAAGAGTGGATGCTTCTTCATCTATCTAGAATCCTCTATCCTAGGTGTACTAGGACCCCACAGAGGTGCCTGCTTAAATTGTTCTTGCTTTTTCTATATTCTTAGTGTGGAATTATTTTTAGGAATTCTTCATTTATTATTATTAGTTTTTAAATTTTACTATAGGGCACATGCACTCACCAGAGAAAGATAGAGTAAGAAAGTAGGGTGCCTGGTCTGGGACTCAAACTGCAGTTGACCATGCGGGAGCCCAGCACCTTAGCCACCATGTCCCTGCTGGCCCAGTGTGGAATTATTGAAGGACAGTTGAGAGCAAGCATGAAAGTCTGGGGCACGAACGCAGGATGGTTGGGAGGGAAGAAAGGGGTGCTGTCGTCGATTAGACTGTGTCCCCCCAGAAGATAAGTTGAAGTTCTAACCTCCAGTCCCTGGGAATGTGACCTTATTTGGAAATAAGGGTTCTGTGGATGTAATTGAGTTAACTTCAGATTAGTAGTCCAGTAGTACTTCAGTAGGACTGCTGTTCTTATGAGAAGAGAGGGACCAGCAGTTAGCGTAATGGCTATGTCACTGGACTCCCATGTAGTCCATCGCGGTTCAAGTCCCAGACCTGGCGGCTTAAACTCACACCGGGCGCGTGTGCATGCGTGCCCAAGATCCCAAGAGGAAAATGGAGGAGAAGGGATTGCGGGAGGAAATGGTAGGAGGTGGAGATTGGAGTTCCCATGCCATAAACCAAGAAATGCCTGGGGCCATCAGAAGGTAGAAGGACAGGAGAGGATCCTGCCTTAGAGCATTTGAAGGGAGCCAGCCAACACCTCGATTTCAGACTTAGCCTCCCAGCCTCCAGAACAGTGAGAGAATAAGTGCCCGTGGTTTTTACCCAGCCAGCGTGTGCAGTCCTAGCACGTGAATACAGGCACTAGAAGAAAAAGGAGATAATGTCAAAACGAAATTTTATCTGCTTTCTGGTTGTGTTTGCACAGCTGGCCTTGCTGTAACCCTGGCTTCTCAGTGGTGCAATTAGGAAGTCACAATTAAACCTTAAGACTCTTCTCAGAGACACGGAGAAGTGCCTGGGCTCAGTAACCCTCTCAGAGAAGGATTTTACCAAAATAATCATATTAGCTTTTTTTTTTTTTTTCCATTTGAATGACTACTGAGAGGTACTGAGGAGGGGAGTGAGCAATACTCAAGTTCAAGCCTTCAGACTCCCAAGTCAGCAAGAATAACATTGTCACCCAGGGAAGACGGGTCAACAGGGCTCAGCTAGAGATCTGAGAGGCTAACGCATGTGGCCAATTCAGCGTTTTTATTTGTAAGCTGTGACAAATGTGTCATTTTTTCTCTTTACTGCAATCCTTATGATAGTTCTATCAGATAGGAGTCTGTCTTTGGGAACGATGGCTAAGCAAGGGGAAACCACTCTAAGGTTTGATGCTAAGCACTACAGGCAGTTGCTCACTTTAGAAGACATCTGCGAAGATGTGAACTTGGGGCATTTTAACACATCAGGACAGAGACATTTACCAGGGCTGTGGCCCACAGCAGGTCGTAAACTGAAGCCCTAGAAGGGGCCCAACTGTGTGGGGAGCATTGCTGCCCTGCAGGTGGTAGGTGTGCTTCCAGCTCCATCTTCTGGGTTTGCCTCAGTGGGGTCAGATGTGGTGGCGGTTGTAGAGATAGGATGGGTACAGGCCATCGTAATGCCACTGACGCCACTGCTCCACGGCCTCCCGGCCCCGCTCTTCCTGTTCTGGGGAGGAAAGGCAATGTCACCTGTGAGGACACAGAGGGCTTGACCCAAGGAAAGCCACCAATGCCAGTAGCCATCAGCCTAAACTGCCTGCCCTGAGGTGACATGAGGCAAATGTACCTATGAGCCCTGATGACACAACACAGCTGGAAGGGACCTAGAGAACATGGGTCTAAAGTCCTCCTTCTGTAGATAATAGGTGACGCCCTAGCAGATGTCTTAAGGCCTTCTATGGAAAGCATTTGTGAGGCTCCTCCAGCAGTTACACAGAGGATTACCCTATAACCCATCAATTCCACCCCCAGGAATATACCCAAAAGAGTTGAAAGCAGGGACTCAGACAAATACTGTCCATAAATATTCCTAGCAGTACTATTCGCAATAACCCAAAGATAGAAACAACCCAAATGACCACCAACATATAAATGAATAAACAAACTATTTTGTGTGTATATATAAACAAATACATATGTAAATAAGCATAGAGAATAGTATTCAGCCATAAAAAGAAAGAAAGTTCCCATGTCATCGGGAAAGTCATAACATATTTTCCTATGTTTTTCTATGCAAAAAGTACATCATGACTTTACTGGCGACCCAGTACCTATCAATCATTGATGTATGATAAGTGGACTCAGCCAGGCACAAGAGAAATGTGTGATTCCACTTACAGGAACTTTCCAGAGTAGGCAAATTCATAGGAACAGAAAAGGTTACCAGAGGCTGCATGGGGAATAGGGAGATTGCTTAGTGGGTGCAGGTTTCTGTTTGGGGTAATCACAGGGTTTTAGAGCTAGACCATTTTGTGATGGCTGCACAAAATCGTGAATGTACTAAATGCTACTGAGTTGTTTACTTAAAGATGGTTAAATGACAAATTTGGAGGCATATAGAAATGATCACATTTGGGAAAAAAAATTGTGGAAATTGTTGGGAGCATGGGCAGTCCTAACAGAAGATGAAATCAAGGATTAAAACCCCAAAATATCTTCCCTACCTCTGTATACTCCAATGTGAACTTCACCAAAAAGCCTGGGAACCTGAAAGCCTGTGCTTGGGAAGCTGACGACCTCTGTGGCATTGGGCTAACGGAGCTAACAGGGTAAAAAACTTTTTTTTTAATTAAACGGGGGTCCCCATGGTCTATAGCATCTGTGTGAGTCAGAAACTTGGGCCAATGCTGACCTCAACAGGAAGGGCCCTGTTCCCAGGGGATGAGCAGAGAAATGGCTCCTGGGAATGCCTCCTTCCTGTGTGAGTGAGGGGCAGGTGCTAACCTTGGTGCTGAAAAACCCCTTAGGTACTTGGTACCCCAGAGGTGGCCTGGAGCTTCTGGTGTCGGCCTCCAGCCCTTTGAGACATATTTCAAGCCCAGAGGAGCGACTCCGGGCAACAAACTTTCTGCCAGCCTTGAGTGATTTTTGCCAAAGCTGATTTGGCACACCTTTCATGAAGTAAGTACTCTGGGGAGAGGCTGACCGTCCATCTGCTCTCGGTGATTCCGAGAATAGGCAACTTAGTCAGGTCAGATAGCGAATGGGGTCCCACATCCTGACTGAGGGGTAGTGTTGGGCGCCTCAGAGAAGGACTCAGGAGACAGATGCTTGAGCACTGCCCCAGGGCGGAGGTTTCGGGCAACCAGGCCCCTACGCAACAGCATTCTAGGGCAGAGGCAAGGTAGAGGGAGAAAAATTGAACTAGTTTCCCTTTTTTTTCCTGGCAATCTAGGGCTGATTCCCCTCTTTGCTCTATTGATCAAGCTCTGGGAGACCCCCTTTGAGTTGTTCGGCTTTACTCTCCCCACTCTGCCCATCCTGTGGGCCAATTCCTGGATAGAAGAGGATCTCCAAGGTCTCTGCATTTGGTCGTCCTTGATTTGTAAGAACAGGAGCTCTTCTCTCTCTTTTTATAATTTTTTGCTTTTTTAAAAAAGTTTTTCTTTCTTTTTTGAGTGTGAGAGGGAATAATTAGACAGGAAGAAACAGCACTCCCAACATGCTTCCCATCCTGTGATCCACCCCCAGCCTCAGCCAAGCCCAGATCATGGGTACATGTGTGACCGGCATAATCAGGGAGGTCTCCCAAAGAGAACCCAGACCTCACATGGGAACCCATGTGGATCAGCCTTTCAGAGCATTGCATTTTGCTGCATCTGGTCCTAGAGCTTTGCTGTCAGATATGCCTTAGTTCCAATCCTGGGGCTACCCTCGTAGCTATGTCGCCTTGGGTATTTATGTATCCTTTTTGTTTGTTTGCCAGAGGATGTGTGTGCTCACCAGAGAGAAACAGAGGGAAAGTGAGAAGGCATCCCCCACTGCCACCATGGGAAACGGTCACACTGTAACCCCTTCTCCATCTCTCCCTTCTTTCCAAATTTTGGGCACACACACACACACACAACACACACACACCCAATGTTTCTCAAGTTGCCAGTTTGGGGACTCAAACCACACAGTCAGCCTAGCGGGCTCCAGTCACACTGCTTCCTTTTTTTTTTTTTTTTTTTTTTTTGGGGAGTTTTTTTTTTTGGGGATTTGGGCCCGCCCAACAGAGAGAGACAGAGAGATAGAAAGCGATAAATCACCCCCCAGGGGGGATGGTCACGCCACAATCCCTTCTCCTCCATTCTCTTCTCGGGATCTTGGGCACGGACACACACGCGCCTGGCATAAGTTTTAAGCCACCGGGTCCAGGAAACAAACTATGGTCGGCTACATGGGAGTCCAGCGACATAGCCATTACGCTAACTGCTGGTCCCAATCACACCACTTTCTAAGTCTCAGCTTTTGAAACTATACAATGGAATCACAAGACCTAGTGTGGAGACTGGTCGCAAAGATCTAAAGGCTCAGGACAGGGCCCAGCAAAGAGTGCTTGATGACAGCAGCTGTGGAAACAGCGCGCAAAGGCCTGTGCCTGCTCCACAGCAGCTTCTCCATCGGCCTGGGTGCGACCTTGGTGTCCTCCATGAGGACCTGTCACTCTACAGGTGCCAAACCCCAATCCTAATTCACCAGGGAAGGGAAAACGGTGACTGTTTTCCACCCACAGACTAGAGATCTGAACCTGAAACATTGTGAAATGCACAAAATAAAGTGCTATTATTAACAGTATGAGGAAAATATCACACTGAAGGGATGTTGGAGGCCACATTCTCATTTTTTTAAATGCCTCTCCCGAAGTCGTCCACCAAGGTAAACAAAGCTCTAATAGAAGTGTTTGCTTTTGGGCTCTGACAGCCTGAGGTTTTCCCAGTGAGTTCTCAAGAACACTTTATTTGCCAAGATCTGAGCCCAATACCTGTTTGCGAAGCTCAGCCTCATGTCATCCACAGGCCAATGAGTAAGCCTGCCTGGGGGCATATCCTGTCACTCGGAGATGCCTTTAGAGGACGTTACCACCCCACTCTCAGATTAAACAAGCTGGAACAGAGAAATCTGACTTTCTCTAACATGGGGACATACCCTGGGGTCTGGTGTCCAAGCTCATACATACCCAAGAGTATCAGGTAGGGGAGTTTGTTCCTGAGCATTTCAATCTTAAGGTTGAAGACCAAAAATGAAACACACATGTGCGCACACACACACACACACACACTCGTCTGCTGGTTTGCTCACAATGAAATGTTCCTGTGGATGTTGTCTTGGGTGACACTCAAGGGCGCATAATAGCAAAACCAAATCACACGCATGAACAGCTGTGGCTCAGGGTTAGAGCCCCCCTACTGCCCTCCCTACCCACACCCATCCTCCACTGAGGCTCTGGTGCAGCTGGCACCTGCTGAGGCAGGGCTCCTGTCTGCAGAGCTGAGGGTGGGAATCAGATGGGCCAACTTCCTGGTTGGTTACACTGAACTCCCTTAGCCTTGTCTGCCTTTATTTGCTGTAAGAGGCAAAAGGCCAAGGCTTAGCAAAGAGGCACTAACAGATGGGCAAGGGCACAAGCAAACCACGTGCAGACTTTGAGAGTGGCTGATCCCTTTGTGTGAGTCGGAGCATCAAGATTGGCTATAGACGTTGCTGTTGGAGTAGGAGGTTGGTGGAAGTGGGGTAGTGAAGCCGGTGCTTTCCGAGTTTGATTTTCCTGGTTTGCTTCAAGCAATCAGTTGAGATGCTGATTTTAGTGAATAGATGAGTAAAGGCCTAGATTTTCCAGGAAAAAGTAGTTCGTGGAGCTGTTCTATTAATCTAAATCCAAGGCACCTGAAAGTGAGTTCAAAATCCACCCAACACAACCCTACCAGAGCTAAGCCACTAATTTTGGGAGGTAGACTGAGAAGACAGACTGCCACCCTGATCTCTAAGTGAGAGGAAGGAAGCAAAGGAGTTTTATAACCACACAGCCAGAGAACAATTCCCCTGCCCCCAGTCTCCTAGGCAATGGTGACATGAGTACTCTGTTTTCTTCCGTACCTTCTACAGTTCTGTAAAGCCACCATTTAGGGGACTTGCTCCTTTATTTTCAAGGCTCCTGTAAATACGAATCTTCCCTTACCTCGCTCCTCCAACTCAAATCCAGGAGGAGAATCGGAGGTGTACCCTGCAACTTTTGCACAAAGCCCCACCTCCCTGAAGACGCTGGCCAAACAGATCTTACCATCATTCTGTTCTTCCACAAAGTTCTCGAATTCGTTCCTCTGTTCTTCATAATATTCTCTCTGAAGCTCGTCAGCCCGCAACTTCTGCCTGTTTTCCGCTGTGAAAGGAAAAGAGGCAAGAGTTGCTCCCAGAAAGAAGGCATCTACGGGAACACACTTTATGTGAGAAACTGAATCTTGTTTGGGCGCTGTGCTGTTTGTGAGAGGGAAAGAGGTGGGCCACTTCACTGAAATGATTTACCCCTGACATAGACTTCAAATCCTGAAGGATCGGGAAGGTCAGACAATCCCACCACCTCATTTTGCAAGGGATAACACAGAGCCCCCAGGAGGAAAAGCACCTTAACTCCAGTCATAAAGTCAGTGGTGTGTCCAAGTCTACTAAGCCATTTGGGGACCAGAAATAGCATGATCAGAAATAAATGCCACAAAAGAATGATCCCATTTAAAGTTAATTGCACATTCATAAGACCTTCAAATATAGTCAACATTTTTGAGTCCTTATCACAGCCAGGATGTACGTAGATTTAACTCCAGGATTAAAAAAGTAAGAAAGGGGCCAGCACATGGCACTGGAGCCCCGCATGATTAACCACAGTTCAAGTCCTGGACGGGGCAGCTTGAAAATTATGCCAGGTGCATATGCGTGTCCCAAATCCCAAGAGGAAAATGGAGAAGAAGGGATTGTGGTGTGGCTATTCCTCAGGGGCTGATTTCTCATTTTCTCTCTTGCTGTCTCTGTCTCTCTCCAGGAAGCACACACACTTTATAACAAAATCCTTAAAAAAAAAGAAAAGAGCAAAGAAAGATTCTATCCCCTTTATTTAAAAAGCCTGTAATCCACTTAAAGAGAAAGATATAAAAACAAATTCATCAATTTTATGACTGCTAGAATAAAAATCTATGATAGCTGTGGTTGCCTGGAGGAAACTATTTAAAGCACTCTATTTTCAAAAGCTTGTTTTGGTTTTAAATGGGAGTGTGGGAGGGAGAGAGAAAGGTATGTGTGTGTTTGTATACATATGTGTGTGTGTGTATGTACACACACACACATATATATATAATTGTGAAAGGGTGCATGCACTTGCACGCCCGAGAGAGAAAGAATGGTCCCCAATGGGATGTGATGACTCTGCAACTCTTTTTCCTCCCTTTCTCTGCCCTGTCAGGATGTGAGGCATGCAGGTGCAAGCATCTGGTGGTTTTTCAAATCTCTGGGGCTGGTGATCAAAGCACAGTTAGCCACAAGGGGTCCAACTCCCAAGGCACAGTGCTTAAACACTGCCATATTGGGCCAGCCCAAGAAAGTTGTTTTTGACTAGGTCTCACCATATTGCGATTGCTCTGTCCCAGCCTCCCAGAGAGCTTGGACCACAGGCACGCACCACTGGACCCAGCCTGTTTAGGTAAGTTGGGAACCAAACCTGGGCCTCACTTGGAGCCTCACCCACCGCACAGTGGTGCCCTCCCACTTTAGCCACTGTGCCAGGTTTCATATGCTTCAACTGGAGAATCCATGAAGGCAAACAGGCCGTGTCTGGTGGAGGGAAAACTGGTCCCTCGGAATGCCTCACATTGCATGGTAGAACTTTCTTCGTGTTAGAGGCAGAGGGACTGACGTGCTCTTGTTGCCCCCACCAACTTCAATTTGCAAGAGGAAGTGGTGGTTGATAAGGGAAACTGAGGAAAGCCACACATGGGTGTTGAAAGAAGCAACAAATTTTTTTTTGGTCCAGCGTAACACTAGAAAGCTTCTCAAATCCAGGACCAGCAGGTGGCGTGGTGGTTAAAGTGCTGGACTCTCTCATGTGGCTGACAACAGTTCAATGCCTGGACCTGATGGCTTGCTTTCTCACTTTGTGTCTGTCTCTGGTCAAATTAAAATAAATGAATTAATAAATAAAAATAATAAAAAAAGAAAGCTTCTCAAATCCTTCTTGTCAGTAAGTAGCTCACATTGATAAATAAATTGTAGAAATATTAATTATTGCTATTATAGTTATATGGTTATTTTTAAATAATTATTTTATCTTTTTAATTGTCATTATTTTATTTTATTTCTTTGAAGTTGACCAGAGAAAGAGAAGGAAAGTGAGAAAGCAAGCTGCCAAGAACCACAGTCAGCCTTGTGTGAGTCCAGCCACCTTAACCGCCAGGGCCACCTGCTGGCCCTTATATTATTATTATTTTTTAAGAGGTTTTTGCTATAGGGCGCATGCACTCACCAGAAAGACAGAAAGAGACAGAAAGTGAGAAAATACCCCTCAGGGGGATGGACACACTGCAATCTGTTCTCCTCTAGGGATCTTGGGCACTCACACCACGCCCAGTGTGAGTTTAAGCCACCAGGTCTGGGACTCGAACCGTGGTTGACTACATGAGAGTCCAGTGACATAGCCATTATTCTAACTGCTGGTCCCTCTATATTATTATTTTTAACTCAGATTAAAAATTAAGTTATCTGGGGCCAGCCTGTGACATGATGGTGAAGGCAGCTGGATCCCGCATGGCTGACCATGTGGTTGAGTTCCGGACCCAGCGGCTTGAGAAACATGCCAGGTACAGGGGCGTGCATGTGCCAAATCCCAGAAGGAAAGAGAAAATGAGAAGGGATTATGGCATGGCATGCCACACATCAGGGTGCTTTTTCACTTCCTGCCTCTCTCTCTTTGGCAAGGGCATGCACCCTTTGGCAAAAATTTTTTTAAATCGACATCGTCTGGGAGGACCGGCAGGTGGTGTATTGGTTAAGGTGCTGGACACTCCCACATGACTGACCACAGTTCAAGTCCCGGACCTGGTGACTTGCTTTCTTAATTTCCCTCTCTGTATCTCTCTCTCTAGCTCTCTTTGTGTCTCTCTGGTCAAATTAAAATAAATGAGTGAATAAATATAATAAATATTTTTTTAGAAAAAAATCAACATTATGTGTCATTGGTTTAGCACAGATTCCTGAGGAGTCATATTCTTTCCCAGAGCTCCACCTTTACTCACATAATTGTAGGAAACTTCAGTCGAAGGAGTGGGTAGTCCAGCCCAGCCCCATGCCCCCACCCCTGCCCACATGCACACATTTCTCAGGCTCAGAGATGTGCAGTGACTTAATGGAAGTCACACAGCTGGTTGGGACCAAGCTGGGGCCAGAGCCTGGAGACCCAGGCTCCCACTCTCCACTCTTGGCTGAGAAGACAGCGTTCATGGCAGCATCCCCCCAAATCACCATAGGGGAGGGTGATGCTGCCCCCAATACGGGAAGCTGTCATGGAAGGAGTACTTAGTGTTTAGAAAGCAGGGGTATAATTAGCTATGCCAGATCCTAAAGAAGCATTTTCCATTCCTTTCATACTCAGAAGGAAGAAAAATAATCCTAAACTGCCTTTTTTGGAAGTGCCACAAATTAGGCCTTTAATGTAGCAGTGAATAAGAACAATTTAATTCTCAGTTTTTGCCATAGGACACATGCACTCGCCAGAGAGAGACAGAGAGAGGGAAAGTGAGAAATCATCCCCCGGGAGTGGGGAATGGCCACACTGCAATCCCTCCTCTAACATTCTCCCCTAGGATTTTGGGCACAGATGCCCTGGCATGATTTTCAAGCTGCTGGGTCCAGAATTCAAACCACAGTTAACCATGTGGGAATCCAGCACCTTAACCACCATGCCATCCGCTGGCCCCAAGTCGGTATTTTTATCCTATACATCATTATGCTGTATTCCTTCTCAAGAACATAATGTTCATCAGATTCTCCTTCACCTTAAAGTAACCAGCACTTTTGTCCCAGAAGCTTGGAGATGTCAGATGCCTGTCTTCTGGCTCCAAATTCAAGTTTATTGAAGGGCCACCTGCCCACTATCTAACCTAAGGGACACTGCACTGTCCTCCTGCCCAGCCAGGGGAGTAAATGACAGCAGATACATGTGTGTGCAGTGACAAGGGTTCACCAGGCTGTCCTGGGCCTCCCATGACGGCCAGACACACAGCACCGTCCCTCTCTGCAAGGGATGAGAGCTCAGGCTTCACTCTGCACCTCACAGTTCCGAGTCCACTTCAAAGGATGGAAGATTTGCCTGCCTTAAAGTTGTGCCCGTTTGCCCTGAAAGTCTGCCAAGAGGTTGCTTCTCTGATTTCAATCAAGAACCTCTCAACCTTCATCACAGCTTTTCAGTGTTTCTTGAAATTGGCTAATTTTTAAATCCCAAGTCATATGAGGCCTGGAGATTTTCCTTAGTATGGTTATACTGATCCAGTTGGAAAAGGAAAAAAAGAAGTTGATCTCCAAAGCATTTTCATCTCTGTCCTTTCCCATCATTTGAAAACAGTCTTGCTATTTTTACTGAGCAAGTCACCTTGCTGAGTGTGTGCCGAGGAACACAAAGAGTTCATTCATCCACATGCCCAAGGAAAGAATCAAGCCATGCACTCAGTTGGGACTGTCCGAGCTCAGAGTCTTGGAAGTGAGTTTAGGGGCAGAAACCTCAAATGCCTTCATGGGTCTGCAGGTCAAGGGTGCAAGGGCGCTGCAGTGGTAAAGCCATGGGACCACGGGGCCATGAAACCAACAGCCCGCTGGGTGGGAGACCCATTTACACAAATGCATCAGAAATTAAAATTTAAAATAACTCTGCTGGCTGAATACAGCTCTTTCAAGGGCTTATAAATAAGGAAATTAGGGCCAAAGAGAGGAAGTGGCTGGGACCACTTAGCAGCAAAGCTGTCACCAAACCCACACATGTCAGCATCCAGTGCCCTGTCTCTTCCCCTGCAGGCAATGCCGGTTGCTCTATTATAGTGAGTCTGCTGTGCCAAGACCCCAAAGAGCACACAGTGAGGTGTCATGTCCCTTCTAGACTGGAATATGCAGCTCTTCTGCACATTTTCACTGCTGAGTGCACTTTGCCGTGGCTCTGACCTTTTTTGCCCCTTGCCCTAATGATGTTTTCAACCCAACCTGGGATCCGCTATAAGGAAACAGGTGGGATTTCTCATTCCCAGCTGCAGTCACGGTGACACCTGAGAACCTTGTAGAGCCCTGGGTCCCAATATCCCCTACCCTCTGGCCCACTTCCGGGGATGCAAGGCAGGCCCCCAGCATCCTTACCATTGACCTCATCTCTGGATTTTGGGGACCTCTTGCCACGCTTCCTGAGGAAATTTGAGGCCTCCGATTCCTGCATGAAAATCTTCTGTTTCACATCTGAAATCAGAGAGGCCAGTCAGCACCAGCTGCCCGGGGAGCCGGCCCTATCTGCCCTGTGTGTGGTCCCTGCACTCACCTTCCTGGGCCTCTTCTCCTGCTGCCTGCCTGGTGCCCACGGAAGCACAGGTGCCCTCCTGCAGCACTGCGGGACAAGGGCACAGGGTGAAGGCTGCAGTCCCACAGGGCAGCCAGGCCTGGACTTGACCTCCATGATCCCGCTCAGGCCCTGGTGTGGGACCTTGCGACGCTCAGTACCAGCCACTGAGCTGATCTTCCCAGGAACCCACCAGGTAAGCTGGACAGGAGCTGGAAGATGCTCCTACTTTTTTCTTTCTTGCTGCTTTTTCTGTATTACATCGTCTTTCACACACATCCCAAACATAGCCATCTTAACAAAGAGCACACTCCTTTTTACCTGTTCCACTTCAACACACTGACCTGTGTAAGTTAAGGCTTACTGTGTTACTGACAGGATCCACCTGACCCTCCCATACTCACTGGACAGGAGCACCACGGCCGAGACGCAGGACAGGAGGAGGACCTGTCTCCAGGTCATCTCTGAGGCTAGCTTCCTCTAGGAACCACAGGCAGAAGAGGTGTCCTGAGGCTGCCGCCAGCTGGGTCCTTGCTTCTGAATCTGGCAGGCCAGGCAAGCAGGTGGGAGGGAAGGACGGAGGGACGGAGGGAAGGACGGAAGGAGGAAGGGAATGACGGAGGGAGGGAGGGGAGGACGGAGGGGAGCATCTGGTGATGCCACCGGGGAGAGTGGGAGGGGTCCTGGCTGCAGCTCCCGTTGGCTGCTCCTGGCTGGAGCACCGGAGATGCTTTTTGTGCCTGGCCAACTGCTACAGAAGCAGGGCTTGTTGCAGGGCCCTGGCTGGGACAGTTCTGAAGTGGCCTTTCCAACATCCACACCCAAGGACTTGCTGTTGAGAATGCTCAGCCTCAGAGTTAGGAATCTGGAGACCAAGGCCATGTTGCAAAGATGCTAACGAAGCCATCTGAAAGCACACCTCCCAGCCCCTCACTGCCCCTAGCTCTTTCATCATCAAGTCCTATTGATTCTACTTTTTTAAAAAAAGATTTATTTTATTTTATTTATTCATTCATTTATTTTAATTTGACCAGAGAGAGAGAAACAGAGAGAGAGAAAGTGAGAAAGCAAGCTACCAGGTCCAGGACTTGAACCGTGGTCAGCCATGTGGAAGTGTCCAGCACCTTAACCACCATGCCACCTGCTGGTCTCCATTCTACTTTTTTTTCATTTATTTTTTGCAGGGATTTTTACTATAGAGAGCATATGTTCACTGGAGAGACAGAGACAGAAAGCAAGAAATTACCCTCAGGAAGGATGGCCATGCCACAATACCTTCTCCCCCATTCTCCTCTCCGGATTTTGGGGACACGTGCACACACACCTGGCATGAGTTTGAAGCCACCAGATCTGAGACTTGAACCGTGGTTGGCCATGTGGGAGTCCAGTGATGTAATCACTATGCCGTCTGCTGGCCAATTCTACTTCTTAAATCTTAATGCTCTCTCTTCTCATCATTCTCACTGCTCCAGCCCTTCCCAGACATCACAGCTCCTGCAATAGCCTTCATCTAACCTCTCACCCCTCATGTCACTGGAAGCGTGGACATCCTGAAAAACCCTCATGGTCACTGCCATGCTTAAGATCATTCAAAGACTGGCTCAGCTGCAGTGGTGTACACTGCTAAGACCTGTGCTCTGTCAGCTGGAACCACAGGAGAGGCCCAGGTTTGATCCTCAGTTCAACCTAAAAGCTGTCGAGGATCTACAGAGCACCTGGCCATGGCAACTTGAAGCTTTTCTTCCAAAGATGACATTTAAATCAAGAAGCCTACCCCCAAGGACTCATTTGCTGGGAGCTGATGACATGGTAGCAGTTGGAGCTGCGTTAGGACCTGGCCCAGGTCACTGACTTGGTCAACTCACTGAGACCAAGTTCCAACACATACCTTAATTCCACCATGCCATGGTCTTGGGACCAACACCCAGTACAAGCCAGGTAGTTCATACTCCTTTCCTGGAGATCCCAAACATACACTGGGAGATCAGCTGAACTTCTGGACCTCTTGCTGTTGCCATCACATGGGGTGCAAGCGAGTTCACAACCAGGATGGACATGGAGATACATTATCTCTACTCTAGACCGTACAGAGGTGAAGTCGTCAAATTTGACTTTGCAACTGAATCTTCCTGATGCTTTAAACACAACAACATCTGAGCCCCAGCCTCCAAGGTTCTTATCCCAAAGTCTGGGATCTGGGTCTCAATATTTGTTAAAATCATTTGAGAGCAGTAGGTGGCATAGTGATTAAGGAGCTGGATTCCACATGGCTGACTCGTGGTTCAAATCTCAAAATCAAACTTGGCAGCTTGAAAATCACACTGGGTGTGTGTGTGCATATGAGTCCAAAAATCTCGAGAGGAGAGTGAAGGGGAAGGGATTACAGTGTGGCCATCCTCCTGGGGGATTTCTCACTTTCTCTCTCTCTCTCCTATGTTTCTCTCCAGTAAATGCATGAACCCTATGGAAAAAATGTTTAAAAAAATTTTTTGAGGTGATTGTAATGGACAAATAAGGTTAAGAACTATAAACACACAAATACACACACACATACACACACACACACACACACACA